CTAAAAATAATGAAAATTTATTTAGCAATCCATCATTATTAGACGATAGTGATATTTTTAAAGCATTAGAAGGTGATGTACCATTAGAAGAAGAGGAGGATGATGAGATAAATTTGTATTTGCAACAAAGAAAAATTGGACTAAATGATGATCCATTAAAATGGGTCCTCTCTCTCCAATACCCAAAAATTTAGAAAAAACAAAAATTTCATTTTTCAAAGAAAACTTTTATTTTATTAAAAACTTTAACTATACAACATGACTCTTGATATTTTCAAAAACCTTTTTACCCAAGAAGTCTTAAACTTCCAAAAACTGAAGTCTTATATTATACTGGAACTTGAAAAATGAGACTTTGCTATCGCAAAATTTCTCTCATATGAAACACCAGTAGTCTTTTGACTTGTTAGAAAATTAAATGAAGAATACTTAAAAGCTTTTCCAGCTGAACGCACTGCACAAGAAATTTTTCTCAACAATGATTTTATTGATAACCTTGTGAGATCTTGTGCCTATAACTTGCACGAAATTGGAGCAAGCGATCACAGAACTAACAACACCAAAGATATTATTTCAAATACTATTAAAACAGCTCTTTCATATAATGAAACTAAAGATGTTATTTCGCTTAATGATGATGAGAAAATCTCTTCACAAATGGATACACTAAATGATGATAACATGTCAACAGATACGAATAATATACGACACATTAATCTTCCTTCTTCTTTTTCATCAACTCCTAATACACACTATCCTTCGTCTAATAATCAAACAATAACAATAAACAAAAATCAAAACAAAACAGACCACAAAAAATCTTACGCGTCTGCCATAAAACAACCTAAACAAATTATTCACGCGCCTGCAGATCACATTAATAATAACAATAACATCAATGCGTCAGTACACAACCCAAATAATAATAATATACAAAGTCATAAGTTATACAAAAATGACTTACGACACACAATAAAAAATGTTTCTCACGTAATTATACCCAATAATAGAGGAAATGTTTTCACATCGCTCCTAGCTTTTGCTATGTCAGGAGATAATAGGATAGAGAAATTAGACTTCATTTCCTCCCTTTTTTCTCAAAAACCAGGCTATGTCAATATAGATTGGAAATTTCATAATGGCAATGCTAATATCTTTATAGAATTTAATAATAGAAAATTATTATTGAATGCAATAGATGATGTTTTAATCAATCAACTCTCTTTTAACTTAATCAACGAAGCTACAATTAATATTTAACATCACAATAATCCCACTTACAAACTTAAATCTGTCCCTAATGAAATTACACAGAACCACATAAATAGAGCTCTCACATATTTTGGATCTATAATTTCAATTGAAGATAAATATAAAAACTAACATGACGCTACATGTGATATTATTGTCTTTTTTGGAAAAATCAGAAAACTACATCAACTCAATGCAGCCTGAATACATAATATCAATAGACAAGTCATCAGATGTGCTCACGTAGACACTGTTAAGCCTAAACACTCATTAGGATAACAAAGCTTATTTGCTAACAGGAAGTTTAAGTTGTAAACTATGAAAGAAATAAACACGAACTTATTTAAGTTAAAGGGTCAGGTCATCTTTATTGATGATTTATGTTTTAAGGAAATAGATATTGGCAAAGATATAGTTTTTATGTTGTT